CCTAAATAATGCTGCAGCAATCAACTCTAATGGGTCTTCTTGATCCCAATACCACAAATAGTTCAAGATACGTTGTAGTTCATGACTCTCATATTGTGATGCTAACTGGTCGCGTTACCTGTCACATTTGGCCCAGGCTTGCCCGAGCGTCCCCTGATCTTGTTCTGTGGCGTCATTGCACTAGGGTTGAAGACTCTCAATGGAGTATTAGCCTCTGCGACGCCCTCGGTGGTGACAAATCTAGGGTTACCACCATAGCCCGCGTGCAGGCCCAAGGGAAGAATAGTGGGCCTGCAAGCAAGGCCCGGTATTTTGTACTTTCCTCGTTCGTCCACGAACGCAGCATTCTGATTGGCTGTTTGCTGTTGGATTCTATAATTAAATCAATGATTCATCACAAAGGCTCTCGATAAGCTTAAAATTCGAAAATTGATCACTTTTTTCGATTAAAAATGGAACAAGAACAGACTGTTTGTTGTTTACTTGAAGGAAGTGATGTTTTTGCCGTTATGCCAATGGGGATTGCTTGTCGTGAAGTGTTGGAATAGCAACATTACGACTGGGGTAAACTATACGGTAACCTTTACTCGAGTTTCATTAATTTCAAACAGACTTGATACGTTATATGTTTCTCAAGAAAATTACCTTTTGGTTGATGTTGACTCTGCTCTGGCACTGAAGAAAACAGCGCTTTTCGCGGTGAAGATTTAGAGGCAGTTGCATGTAAGCCTATTCGAAACACTTTGCGATTTGCAAGGCTTCGCTGAGAGAGCGAAACAGAATACAGTAATTGCCTTTTGAAACGAAACGATCTGGACGCTCTCTTCGTTTGTAGAGTTCTTTACCACATGAAATAACTGAAATAAATTTCATACTTTCCGCCGCCAACAATATCATTAAATATCAGAAGCTTAGTTAAAAATATAGATCAGTTTAGGATATATAGTCATAATTGCAAGTTTGATATAATATGTTTAAGTGAAACAATGCTAGACGGTACAATCCAAGATTATGAACTAAATGTTAATGGATACGAAGTTATTCGTAAAGATAGAAATCGTAATGGCGGGGGTGTTGCGATTTATATTAGAAATTGTATAAACTATAAATTACGGCCAGACTTAGATCACGCAAATTTGGAATCAATCACCGTTGAAATTTTCAAACCAAAAGCGAAGTCGTTTTTAATCAATACATGGTATAGACCACCAGGTACAAGTCTTGATTTGTTTAGTGATTACGAGGAGTGTATTACAAAAATGGATTATGAAAATAAGGAAGTTATCACAATTGGAGATTTCAACTGTGATTGGAACAATCTCGGAGAAAGTACAATTTCACCTCAGACAAAAAGAATCGTTGATCTTGCTCAAACATTTCAATTTGAACAATTAATTAAAGAATCAACGAGAATAACCGAAACTTCTAGTACGTTAATAGACTTGGCATTCAGTAACAAGCCAGAACTGATTATTGACTCTGGCGTGGAACACATAGGAATAAGTGACCATAGCATGATCTATGTCTGCCGAAAAGTTTCTATTCCCCGAAAAGAGCCAAAAATTGTCAACACAAGACAGTATAAATATTTCGAAATTAATGCTTTTAGATCTGATTTAATTGAAATTTTCCAAATACAATTAAACCTTTCAAACCCAAATATTCTTTGGGAGGAGTGGAAATCAAAATTTTTGGCGGTTGCTGATCTACATGCACCACCAATTACACGGAAAGTTAGAAGTGAGTATGCTCCTTGGATTACAGAAAATATTAAGAAAAGTATGCAAAATAGAGATTATCTTAAAAAAAAGGCCGTTAAATCGGGCTCAAGGAATGTGCACGAAGCGTATAAAAGAGCAAGAAATGAAGTAAACAAGCTCGTTAAAAACACGAAAACTAAATACTTTATGAATGCCCTAAGTGAAAATAATCAAAATCCTAAAACAATGTGGAACACAATTAGGACATTGACAAACAAAAATTCTAAAACAACTAACATCACTGAGATCCACGTTGAGAATGACCACTCTGTTACCGAGCCTAAACAGATTGCTGATGCCTTTAATTCATTTTTCATTAATATTGGTACTCAACTGGCTGATGCTTTACCTGTAACCAACATAACACCAGAATCATTTATCACCCCTGCGAATTCCTCTTTTGAAATTCATACCGTTTCAATTGAAAAAGTATTTAATTTACTTTCCACTATAAAGGTTTCTAAGGCAACAGGACACGATAAAATCTCACCAAAATTGCTGAAAGACTCTGCAGATATCATAGCGCCATCTTTGGTTAATATCTTTAACCAATCTATTAAAACTGGTATCTTTCCTGATGATATGAAAACTGCAGTGATCTCACCTATTTTCAAGTCGGGAAATAAGACAGAGTGTACTAACTATAGACCAATTTCAATACTCTCGGCAATTTCCAAAATCTTTGAGAAACTCATTTCATTGCAATTGTCTGAATATCTGGAATCCAATGAGATACTCACAGGTGAACAATCAGGTTTCCGAAAGAATCACTCAACACAATCATCGCTCCTTCAAGCTACCAACAAATGGTTGATCAATATGGACAATGGGTGCTTGAATGGTGTAATATTTTTGGACCTGAAGAAAGCCTTTGATTGTGTTGATCATGATATACTGCTTAGGAAACTATATCTCTATGGGTCTAGCCCAATTACCTTAAAATGGTTTAAGTCATATCTGTCCAATAGAACACAAATATGTAAAATTGAGCGTACCATGTCAAGAGAACATACTATAAGATGCGGAGTGCCTCAGGGATCAAACCTAGGACCGTTGTTATTTCTAGTATACATAAATGATCTCCCGAGGTGTCTTTCGCACTCGTCTACTAGTATGTTCGCTGACGACACAAACTTAACGACAAATGGTGGTACAAGCGATGAAGTCATAACTAAATTAAATGTAGACTTAGAAAAAGTTCATCAATGGTTGCTGGCCAATAGGTTAACTCTTAATAAAGAAAAAACCGAATACATGATAATAGGGTCTAGACAGAGATTAGCCAAAATTGAAAACGAACAAGAATTAAAACTTGGGGAAACAAATATTAATAGGGTAAAATGTACAAAAACCTAGGTGTAATTGTCGATGAACAATTAACGTGGAAAAACCAGATCGAAAGCATAGTTAACAAGGCTTCAAAAGGTATCGGAATGATACGTCGTATTAAAAAATATGTTCCGGCTACAGTTTTAGAAAACGTCTATAAGTCTATAGTACTGCCTTATTTTGACTATTGCAGTTTAGTTTGGGAAAACTGTAGCGTCTATCTCCAAGATAAATTACAGAAAATGCAAAATAGAGCAGCTAGAGTAATTACGGGGAAACCGTACGATACAAGAATAAGTGATATGCTGAATGAACTTGGTTGGCAACCATTAGCTGGACGAAGGAGATCTCAGAAAATAGTATTTATGCATAAAGTTAAAAATAAGCAATTCCCAGAAAGCATATCTAACATGTTCCATATTAATAAAAACAACAACTACAACCTACGCAATAATAATGTCAATTATGCACTTTCAAAACCTAAAACAGATTTCATGAAAAAAAGCATAAGTTATTCAGCCGTAAGTCTATGGAATAGCCTCCCAAAAGCCGCTAAACTACATGACGTTTCTATTTGGCAATTAAAACAATTCTCTCGAGCTGATTATAATTACGAATAGATGAAATATGCGAACAGTAAATAGAATCTAATTATGTTATTTGTTTGTAAATAGCTCCTGTATTGTGTTAGGTTAGTTCTTTAATGTCTTTTTATATATTTTTTATTGTATTACTGTAAACGGCCTCTTGGAAATCAGATGTTAGTAGATCTGAAGGGTTACCGTTTCCAAATAAGATTAAATAATAAAGCTGGAACAGGTAATAAATAACGCGCAAGGTGTTCTCTCTTCGTTGGCTAAAACGGTGGAAATGGAAGGAATAGAAGGAAAAGTTGATTCTGCAACCCGTATCGCGCGTTACAAATTAACTGTCTTTAAAAGTTGGTTTACCTTTTCACAATCGGTTATGTACGCAAGTTAAAATTTGATAATAAACAGCCTGACTTCGCAACACATTTATTAGGTTTCCGCCTCCGTTCGAACTGGGGTCCTTGCGCGTGTGAAGCGCACGTGATGACCACTATGCTACAGAAATTGGCTGGCGAAGCACGAGTTCAGTGCGTTGCAGAATTTTGCTCTTTTCATTTTCTGTAAATAAAACCCAAATGCACGCTTCTGCCCAGGGTCGAACTGGGCACTTTGCACGCCTAAAGCGCATGTGATGACCGCTACAATACGGAAACAAGCGCATGTTCGGAACCTATGCAAACTTCCTCAGTTTCAAACGTTCAAAATTGACTGAAAATTCGTTCATTTGATCCTCCCGCAGCAGCCAATTTTGATTCTTCTGTTGAAGCAATAGAAGGACCACTGACGTGCGATGAGATAAACGATGTTCAGTTAGTTGCAGTTGGATATATTTTCTGGTTTAAATGAAGCATTTTTTCTCCATTATATAAGAAAGTAAAATGACCTAATGTACAGTAGGCACAAGGGTTGTCAGCCGTCAGGATGGCCGAGCGGTCTAAGGCGCCCGACTAAAGTTTCAAAACTTGCTCCGCTAATGCGCAGCCAAACGGCGTTCTGGTCCACTAATGTGGGAGTGGGTTCGAATCCCACTGCTGACAGAGAATTCTAAAATTATTTCGCGAGGCCGTTGAATATATTGGTGCAATTCTTAATCCCGAGGATGACTACAAACCAGTCTAAACGTATTAATGTTGATTTAAAAACAAAATGTTGTTCGTTTTCCATCAAACCATTGTTTCCGCCCAGGATCGAACTGGGGACCTTGCGCGTGTGAAGCGCACGTGATGACCACTACACTACAGAAACTTGTCTGGTGAAGCACGAGTTCAGTGCGTTGCTAAATTTTGCACTTTTCATTTTATGGAAATAAAAACCAAATTCATGCTTCTGCTCAGGATCGAACTGGGGACCTTGCGCGCGTAAAGCGCATGTGATGACCGCTACATTTTCGGAAACAAGTGCATGTTCGGAACCCTATGCAAACTTCCTCAGTTTTAAACGTTCAAAATTGACTGAAAATTCGTTCATTTGATCCTCCTCCGGCAGCCAATATGGATTCTTCTGTTGAAGCAATAGAAGGACCACTGACGTACGATGAGAGAAACGATGTTCAGTTAATTGCAGTCGGATATATTTTCTGGTTTAATTTAAATGAAACATTTTTTCTCCATTATATAAGAAAGTAAAATCACGTAAAGTACAGTAGGCACAAGGGTTGTCAGCTGTCACGATGGCCGAGCGGTCTAAGGCGCCAGACTCAAGTTTCAAAACTTGATCCGCTAATGCGCAGCCAAAGGGCGTTCTGGTCCACTAATGTGGGCGTGGGTTCGAATCCCACTCCTGACAGAGAATTTTAAAATTATTTCATGAGGCCGTTGAATATATTGGTGCAATTCTTAATCCCGAGGATGACTACAAACCAGTGTAAACGTTGATTTAAAAACAAAATGTTGTTCGTTTTCGATCAAACTATTGTTTCCACCCAGGATCGAACTGGGGACCTTGCGCGTGTTAGGCGCACGTGATAACCGCTACACTACAGAAACCTGCACGCCGATAAATGTTCTCCAATGGCGAATACATTACCAGATGAGAAAATTTTACCTAGGAGAAAACTTCTCAATGTATCGTGAAAAATCGCTGTGTCGATCTAGTTAATTTTTAAATAATTAAATGGTAATCAGCAAAAAAATTTCTTCGTGGTGTCAGTTTGAAGCAGCACATTGAAAGTGAATCTCGAGTTTTCCCCTTTTCTCAATCTTGAGATCAATCGCGGGAAACAGCTGTCAAATTTATTGCTTCGTTAAATATTGGGCGTTAGGGCAGATCTCGACAGCACTTCAATGCATTAATCAGTGTTTAGGTTGAAACAGTTTATAGCGAAGATTATGCTAGAACAGGTAATAAATAACGCGCAAGGTGTTCTCTCTTCGTTGACTAATACTGTGGAAATAGAAGGAATAGAAGGAAAAGTTGATTCTACAACCCGTATCGAGCGTTACAAATTAACTGTCTTTAAAAGTTGGTTTACCTTTTCACAATCGGACATGTACGCAAGTTAAAATTTGATAATAAACAGCCTAATTTGGCAACACATTTACTATGTCTCCGCCCAGGCTCGAACAGGGGTCCTTGCGCGTCTGAAGCGCGCGTGATGACCACTACTCTACAGAAACTTGGCTGGTGAAGCACGAGTTCAGTGCGTTGCTGAATTTTGCTCTTTTCATTTTCTGTAAATAAAAACCAAATGCATGCTTCTGCCAAGGGTCGAACTGGAGACCTTGCACACCTAAAGCGCATGTGATGACCGCTACAATACGGAAACAAGCGCATGTTCGAAACCTATGCAAACTTCCTCAGTTTCAAACGTTCAAAATTGACTGAAAATTCGTTCAATTGATCCTCCCGCAGCAGCCAATTTTGATTTTTCCGTTGAAGCAATAGAAGGACCACTGACGTGCGATGAGATAAACGATGTTCAGTTAGTTGCAGTCGGATATATTTTCTGGTTTAAATGAAACATTTTTTCTCCATTATATAAGAAAGTAAAATGACCTAATGTACAGTAGGCCCAAGGGTTGTCAGCTGTCAGGATGGCCGAGCGGTCTAAGGCGCCAGACTCAAGTTTCAAAACTTGCTCCGCTAATGCGCAGCCAAAGGGCGTTCTGGTCCACTCATGTGGGCGTGGGTTCGAATCCCACTCCTGACAGAGAATTCTAAAATTATTTCGTGAGGCCGTTGAATATATTGGTGCAATTCTTAATCCCGAGGATGACTACAAACCAGTCTAAACGTATTAATGTTCATTTAAAAACAAAATGTTGTTCGTTTTCCTTCAAACCACTGTTTCCGCCCAGGATCGAACTGGGGACCTTGCGCGTGTGAAGCGCACGTGATGACCACTACACTACAGAAACTTGGCTGGCGAAGCACGAGTTCAATGCGTTGCTGAATTTTGCTCTTTTCATTTTCTGTAAATAAAACACCAAATTTCGTGAGGCCGTTGAATATATTGGTGTAATTATTAATCCTGAGGATGACTACAAACCGGTCTAAACGTTGATTTAAAAACAAAATGTTGTTCGTTTTCCATCAAACCATTGTTTCCGCCCAGGATCGAACTGGGGACCTTGCACGTGTGAAGCGCACGTGATGACCACTACACTACAGAAACTTGGCTGGTGAAGTACGAGTTCATTGCGTTGCTAAATTTTGGTATTTTCATTTAATGGCAATTATCCTACTCAGTCCGGTATTCCTAACTCGCGCGGGTTTAAGCTCGCGGCACTTAATGTGAGATGCCTAGTAAATCATATTGATGAGCTGCGAGTTTTGCCTGCTACTAGCCCGATCGATGTCCTAACAATAAATGAGACATGGCTTAATTCTACAATAAGCGATAACGATGTATATATTCCTAGATACGAAATCATACGTCGTGACAGGGCATTTAGAAGTGCAGATGGAAAAACGTATGGAGGTGTTTTTTTTTATGTACGCTCCAGCGTAAATTTCATACAGCGTAAAGACATGTCTATTGATAATTTAGAAAATCTATGTATTCAAATTCAAAAACCAAATTCTAAGCCATTTCTCGTTGCGACATGGTACAGGCCACCAAATTTGAATGTTGATAAATTTAATTATTTTGAGACATTTATTGACATGCTTGATGCTGAAAATGTCGAGTACTATTTATTGGGTGACCTAAATTGTGATCTCGGGTCGCCTGATTTAGAGAGTAATTCGAGATCATTAATAGGCATCACTGAGTTCTATGGTTTACATCAATTGATAAGTGAACCGACTCGAATTACTGAAACTTCCTCAACTATGATTGATCATATATTCACCAAAACACCAGATAAAATTGTTTGCTCCGGTGTTTCTCATGTCGGTATTAGTGATCACAACTTAATTTATGCATTCCGTAAGCTTTCAACCGGTCTGCACAATAAAGGCCATTCTACAGTAAATTATCGAAAAGTTAAAAATTTTAACTCTGAAAGTTTTCGAAGTGATATTTTTTCACAGAATTGGGACGTCATAAGGACGTATAATAATCCGAATGATATGTGGCGTGTGTGGAAAACGACCTTTAATAACGTAGTGGAAATGCATGCTACTTTACGGACAAGGCGGGTAAGACTTTCTAAGTCGCCCTGGATCACGCCTGAGTTAAAAAGACATGCATGAAAGAGATATTTTAAAAATCAAGGCTATTCGATCTAAAGATATTTATGACTGGGCTGCTTTTAAGAAAGCTCGCAACTCTGTGAACAATGAAATTAAATTGCGAAGAAAGCCCATTATATGAATGCTTTTCATGAAAACGAGAGTAATGTGAAAAAAACTTGGGGTATTATTAATGAATTAACCTCAAGAAAACAAAATAATTCACATATAAAAGAGATTAAACTAAATGGTTCTTCCGTTAGTGACCCAACGGGGTTATCAGAGACGTTTAACACTTATTTTGCTAGCATTGGACCTAAGCTTATGGAGAAGATACCTTGTGATGAAAATAACTGCTCATATTTAGAATATCTCAATTGCCATATTAGTGGTAATACTTTAGAGTTGAAGTCGACAACTTCATCAATGGTTTGTTCACTTTTGGACAAACTCTGTACATCTAAAGCAACTGGTCTGCAGGGTGTATAAAAAAAAGCGCAATCCTCGACTGAAATGTAAATTGCTAAACAAATAATAGACGAAAACGTTAAAGTTTACATTCATTTTAAAGCGTAGCCATTCAACTTTCTAACAGTGGGTTGTTTCTTAAATTTGACTAATTGGTTCGCGGATAATAATACTTTACGTTATTGCGATTGGAGATTAAAAAAATTGAGATGGAATAACAAATCGTTCTCATGAAAATAACTGATTTTTTCATTAAAACAAAAAAATGCTGCATTTTATTAAATGGATTGTAACAATAAGTATAATTACGGCTTTTCTTCCACTATTTTTAACTCAGTTTGAAACTTCAAATGCGATATAATTTTGGCTTGGACCATCTAAGCTGACTGACATCAACTTGCTATAATTTCTGTTTACATTACTGTACATCGCAATTCGATGACACTCTGGCTCAGACACCAGAATGTTTTGACGATTTTTAGCATTCGTTTAGGATTTTCAAACAACCTGGTCTCTTTTAAAATACTTTTAATTTGTTCTTACGTGGTTTTCCAGATGTAGTGACGACAACATTAAAGTTTAAAGAAGAAAATTCTAACATTTAAATCGACTAAACAATAACATATAGTAAACTTGCATAATTAAACAGCAACTAAAAATGATAGGTTTTACTAAATCTTTTCCTGTGCAATTATTACTAGCATTGGAGACAAGGATAATAGTTTGTTTGAAAGAGAAAAGAACAGGCTTTCAAGTAAGCCTAAAAGCGTTTAACTAGAAATAGTATTTCGAAAGTTATTAAGCACAAAAGATGAATTGCGTTTATTTTTGATACACCCTGTAGATAAAATATCTGCTAAGCTTCTTCGCTACTGTCCTGACCTACTTTCGGAATCCCTTACAGTAATTTTCAATTGCTCTATTAATACCGGTATCTTTCCTGATGAATGGAAATGCTCAAAAGTCGTTCCATCATTTAAACACGGTGAGCGTAGGGACTTGAATAATTATCGCCCAATTTCGATAATCCCTGTTGTAGCGAAGGTTTTCGAGCGAATTATTTATGATAAAATCTATGCCTTTCTTACTGACAACAATTTACTATGTAATAGCCAGTCAGGGTTTCGATGTCTAAATTCAACTGTCACCGCGCTTCTTGAATCCACCAATAACTGGGCATACAACATTGACCAAGGCCGAGTGTGGGTAATTGGTTTAAGTCTTATCTAAGGGCCTGTTCATATGATCCCGCTTACCGGGACGTCTCGCGTACCGATGATCTCGCCGCCTATCTATTTTCCTATAAAATTTTGCATTGTGTTCATATGAGAAAGCGAGCTGGCCCGATTGCCGAGATCTCGTTTGAATTTGCCGAGATCATAGGTAGGCGGGATGAAAATTTTTCCATATGAACACGCCAGCCCGCTTACCGGGATGAAGTGAAACAAGTCTTGCCGGTTTAATTTAACACTTTTTACTTGGTTTTATGTTTGTTTTGTAAACAAGTATTAAATAACCACCTGAAGCAATACTTTTTTTTGTAAATAAACAAAGAAAAACACTAAAATCGCCAAGTATTTGTGTTGCTTGACTGAAATGTAGAACTTTTGCATATGCTATTAATTATAGAAATTCAATGTAATTTCTCTCGGCAAGCGGGACAAAATACTCCATATGAACGCACGGAAATATTCGTCTCGGTAAGCGAGACGTCCCGGTAAGCGGGATCATATGAACAGGCCCTAAGTGACCGCAGCCAAAAATGCTATGTTAATGGTCACCTTTCTAACAATCGTACATTACTCTGTGGTATTCCACAGTGGACTATTTTAGGACCATTGTTATTTTTACTGTATATAAATGACTTACCAAATTGCCTTGAGCACTCCCAAGCACGAATATACGCGGATGATACTAATTTAACATTTGCAAGTAACAATATTGACGACATAAATTATCACCTTAATCATGACCTTGCAAAAGTGAACAAATGGCTTATCGCCAATAAGCTTACTCTAAATCAATCCAAAACTGAATTTATGCTAATTGGCTCACGACAAAGAAGAGCCACATTTCGATCAGTTCCATGTTTAGAAATATAGACGGGGTTCCTATTGACAAGGTTTTACAAGCAAAGTCTCTCGGAGTTTAATGAATTAAACTCGAAGCCTGTTATTGGCGCTCTAAAACGTGTTCGATTATTTGTCCCAGTCGCAACATTGTAATTAATTTTTAATTCCTTGGTTCAGCCATATTTCAATTACTGTTGCACAGTTTGGGACAATTGCAACAAAACCCTAGCTGAAAAACTTCAAAAACTACAAAATCGTGCAGCGAGAGTACTAACATTCTCCAGTTATGACACTAATGCTGATGGTTTAATTGAGAAAATTGCATTGGCTGGAAAAAATTATCATCCCAACGCCAGTTTCAAAAAGCTGTCATGTTCTATAAATCATTAATTGGTCTTGCTTCTGATTACATGCATTCCATGTTTGTAAACCGTGACAGTGTTGATCCTTATTCGCTGAGAAACACTGAAAACAAACTAGCTGTTCCCAAGCCCCGCACAAACTATCTCAAGAATAGCTTTAGCTATAGTGGTGCGGTGCTGTGGAACAGTCTTCCGATTGGGCTACGGCAAGCAAATAACTTGATAAATTTCCGATCGGGCTGTGCCAAATTATTTTAACTTTCCTTATATATTGTTATATTTTAGCTTAGTACACGGCCCTCATGAAAAGCAGGTATTATATTTTCTATTTACTTTAGCGTGGTTCTACTTTTGTAACTTATCTAATTTAGTTTGTTGCATGTTAAATCCTGATGAGAATACCGTGTGTAAATAAAGTTTTAATAATAGTAATAATAAAAATAAAAACCAAATGCATGCTTCTGCTCAGGATCGAACTGGGGAACTTGCGCGCGTAAAGCGCATGTGATGCCCGCTACAATACGGAAACAAGCCCATGTTCGGAACTCTTTGCAAACTTCCCCAGTTTCAAACGTTCGAAATTGACTGAAAATTGGTTCATTTGATCCTCTCGCAGCAGCCAATTTTGATTTTTCCGTTGAAGCAATAGAACGACCACTGACGTGCGATGAGAGAAACGATGTTCAGTTAGTTGCAGTCGGATATATTTTCTGGTTTAAATGAAACATTTTTTCTCCATTATATAAGAAGGTAAAATGACCTAATGTACAGTAGGCACAAGTGTTGTCAGCTGTCAGGATGGCCGAGCGGTCTAAGGCGCCAGACTCAAGTTTCAAAACTTGCTCCGCTAATGCGCAGCCAGAGGGCGTTCTGGTCCACTAATGTGGGCGTGGGTTCGAATCCCACTCCTGACAGAGAATTTTAAAATTATTTCATGAGGCCGTTGAATATATTGGTGCAATTCTTAATCCCGAGGATGACTACAGACCTGTGTAAACGTTGATTTAAAAACAAAATTTTGTTCGTTTTCCATCAAACTATTGTTTCGGTCCAGGATCGAACTGGGGACCTTGCGCGTGTTAGGCGCACGTGATGACCGCTACACTACTACTACAGAAACCTGCATGCCGATAAATGTTCGCCAATGCCCAATACATTACCAGCTGACAAAATTTTACCTAGGAGAAAACTTCTCAATATATCATGAAAAATCGCTGTGTCGATCTAGTTAATTTTCAAATAATTATATGCTAATCAGCTAAAAAATTTCTTCATGGTGTCTGTTTGAAGCAGCACATTGAAAGTGAATCTCGAGTTTTCCCCTTCACTCAATCTTGAGATCAATCGCGGGAAACAGCTGTCATATTTATTGCTTCGTTAAATATTGGGCGGTAGGACGGATCTCGACTGCCCTTCAATGCTTTAATCAGTGTTTAGCTTGAAACAGTTTTTAGCGAAGATTAAGCTAGAACAGGTAATAAATAACGCGCAAGGTGTTCTCTCTTCGTTGGCTAAAACGGTGGACATGGAAGGAATAGAAGGAAAAGTTGATTCTGCAACCGGTATCGTGCGTTACAAATTAACTATCTTTAAAAGTTGGTTTACCTTTTCCAATCGGTCATGTACCCAAGTTAAAATTCGATAATAAACAGCCTGACTTCGCAACACATTTACTATGTTTCCGCCCAGGGTCGAACTGGGGTCCTTGCGCGTGTGAAGCGCACGTGATGACCACTATTCTACAGAAATTGGCTGGCGAAGCACGAGTTCAGTGCATTGCTGAATTTTGCTCTTTTCATTTTCTGTAAATAAAACACCAAATGCATGCTTCTGTCCAGGATCGAACTGGGGACCTTGCGCGCGTAAAGCGCATGTGATGACCGCTACACTACAGAAACAAGCGCATATTCGGAACTCTTTGCAAACTTCCCCAGTTTCAAACTTTCAAAATTGACAGAAAATTGGTTCATTTGATCCTCTCGCCGCAGCCAAATTTGATTTTTCCGTTGAAGCAATAGAACGACAACTGACGTGCGATGAGAGAAACGACATTCAGTTAGTTGCAGTCATATATATTTTCTGGCTTAAATGAAACATTTTTTCTCCATTATATAAGAAAGTAAAATGACCTAATGTACAGTAGGCACAAGGTTTGTCAGCTGTCAGGATGGCCGAGCGGTCTAAGGCGCCAGAGTCAAGTTTCAAAACTTGCTCCGCTAATGCGCAGCCAAATGGCGTTCTGGTCCACTAATGTGGGCGTGGGTCCGAATCCCTCTCCTGACAGAGAATTTTAAAATTATTTCATGAGGTCGTTGAATATATTGGTGCAATTCTTAATCCCGAGGATGACTACAAGCCAGTCTAGACGTTGATTTAAAAACAAACTGTTGTTCGTTTTTCATCAAACTATTGTTTCCGCCCAGGATCGAACTGGGGACCTTGCGCGTGTTAGGCGCACGTGATGACCGCTACACTACAGAAACCTGCATGCCGATAAATGTTCGCCAATGGCCAATACATTTCCAGATGAGAAAATTTTACCTAGGAGAGAACTTCTCAATGTATCATGAAAAATCGCTGTGTCGATCTAGTTAATTTTTAAATAATTAAATGCTAATCAGCTAAAACATTTCCTCGTGGGGTCAGTTTGAAGCAGCACATTGAAAGTGAATCTCGAGTTTTCCCCTTCACTCAATCTTGAGATCAATCGAGGGAAACAGTTGTCATATTTATTGCTTCGTTAAATATTGGGCGGTAGTTCAGATCTCGACAGCCCTTCAATGCATTAATCAGTGTTTAGCTTGAAACAGTTTTTAGCGAAGATTAAGCTAGAACAGGTAATAAATAACGCGCAAGGTGTTCTCTCTTCGTTGGCTAAAACGGTGGAAATGGAAGCAATAGAAGGAAAAGTTGATTCTGCAACCCGTATCGCGCGTTACAAATTAACTGTCTTTAAAAGTTGGTTTACCTTTTCACAATCGGTCATGTACGCAAGTTAAAATTTGATAATAAACAGCCTGACTTCGCAACACATTTACTATGTTTCCGCTCAGGCTCGAACTGGGCTCCTTGCGCGTGTGAAGCGCACGTGATGACCACTACTCTTCAGAAATTTGCTATCGAAGCACGAGTTCAGTGCGTTGCTGAATTTTGCTCTTTTCATTTTCTGTAAATAAAACACCAAATGCATGCTTCTGCCCAGGATCGAACTGGGAACCTTGCGCGCGTAAAGCGCATTTAATGACCGCTACACTACAGAAACAAGCGCATGTTCGGAACTCTTTGCAATTTTGATTTTTCCGTTGAAGCAATGGAACGACAACTGACGTGCGATGAGAGGAACGACATTCAGTTAGTTGCAGTCGGATATATTTTCTGGTTTAAATGAAACATTTTTTCTCCATTATATAAGAAAGTAAAATGACCTAATGTATAGTAGGCACAAGGTTTGTCAGCTGTCAGGATGGCCGAGCGGTCTAAGGCGCCAGACTCAAGTTTCAAAACTTGCTCCGCTAATGCGCAGCCAGAGGGCGTTCTGGTCCACTAATGTGGGCGTGGGTTCGAATCTCTCTCCTGACAGAGAATTTTAAAATTATTTCATGAGGTCGTTGAATATATTGGTGCAATTCTTAATCCCGAGGATGACTACAAGCCAGTCTAAACGTTGATTTAAAAACAAAATGTTGTTCGTTTTCCATCAAACTATTGTTTCCGCCCAGGATCGAACTGGGGACCTTGCGCGTGTTAGGCGCACGTGATGACCGCTACACTACAGAAACCTGCATGCCGATAAATGTTCGCCAATGGCCAATACATTACCAGATGAGAAAATTTTACCTAGGAGAAAACTTCTCAATGTATCATGAAAAATCGCTGTGTCGATCTAGTTAATTTTTAAATAATTAAATGCTAATCAGCTAAAAAAATTCTTCATGGTGTCAGTTTGAAGCAGCACATTGAAAGTGAATCTCGAGTTTTCCCCTTCACTCAATCTTGACATCAAGCGCGGGAAACAGCTGTCATATTTATTGCTTCGTTAAATATTGGGCGGTAGGGCAGATCTCGACTGCCCTACAATGCATTAATCAGTGTTTAGCTTGAAACAGTTTTTAGCGAAGATTACGCTAGAACAGGTAATAAATAACGCGCATGGTGTTCTCTTTTCGTTGGCTAAAACGGTGGAAATGGAAGGAATAGAAGGAAAAGTTGATTCTACAACACGTATCGCGCGTTACAAATTAACTGTCTTTAAAAGTTGGTTTACCTTTTCACAATCGGTCATGTACGCAAGTTAAAATTTGATAATAAACAGCCTAACTTCGCAACACATTTACTATGTTTCCGCCCATGCTCGAACTGGGGTCCTTGCGCTTGTGAAGTCACGTGATGACCACTATTCTACAGAAATTGGCTGGCGAAGCACGAGTTCAGTGCGTTGCTGAGTTTTGCTCTTTTCATTTTCTGTAAATAAAACACCAAATGCATGCTTCTGCCCAGGATCGAACTGGGAACCTTGCGCGCGTAAAGCGCATTTAATGACCGCTACACTACAGAAACAAGCGCATGTTCGGAACTCTTTGCAAACTTCCCCAGTTTCAAACGTTCGAAATTGACTGAAAATTGGTTCATTTGATCCTCTCGCAGCAGCCAATTTTGATTTTTCCGTTGAAGCAATAGAACGACCACTGACGTGCGATGAAAGAAACGATATTGAATTACAAAATGGCGGACGAAATTGAATCACTTAAAACAGTGATCGAACAAATTACCAGCGAGAATAATCAAATGAAAATTATTCTAGAAATGAAACAAACTGAATGGATTCATGTAGAAGAAAACAAAGCCTCTAGTACGACCAAGTCAACATCTGTAACATCAACACCGAAAAGTTATGCTGCAGTGGTTTCTAATAGCTTTGAAAGCCTTGTAGACAAACATACTACAAATGAATCGTCCAATGATGATCTAAGTCATCTAACCGAAACGTCTGTGGAAAATGAGAACTTCAATTGTCCACCTGAGAACATCAGTTCTCGTTCTCAATCAACTATCGATCAACAATCAAACAAGAATGAAAGTAATGTTGACAATCCCAATCCTACAAAGAAAATTTTGAGCCCGCCAAATGTACTCCTAATTGGTGACTCCATGGTCAAACACATTTGCCAAGAAAAACTATCCTATGCAGCGAAAGCAAAGACTACGAAAAAGGATTGTGGGGAAGGAAGAACATCAAAGTTGCACAGCATTATTGTTCATGTGGGAACTAATGACTTTGTGTCTGATGATGTGAATACGTCAGTTATAGAAATGGAAGAGATCATTGTAGAAGCAAAGATACACGCACATAATGTTGCCATATCAAGTGTGGTAAAGAGGTATGACAATAAAGTACCTAATTCACGGGTAGCTCACTTTAATAATTTAGTGCATGATTTGTGCAAGAAGCATAAATTAACATTCATCGATAATGATAACATTGATAAATCTTACCTAAATAGATCAAATCTTCACCTTAACTATAATGGTGATAAAGCCCTTGGAAAATCACTATGTTCCTACCTACGATCAGTGAGATCTGGAATGAGCTATACTCCAGATAGTCATTATTTTCGTCAAAGCAGGCGATCAATGGGTCGCCCAAAGAACTGGACAGCATGTTTATCATACCTGGCCAACATTGCCAGAATGTTTCAACAGTAGATGATAGATTTCCACTTCACAAAACAAGCATGAGTAGCGATTTATCCAATAAAATTAATTGTCTGCCAAAGCAGCGTGGATTTAAAATGGCATTTCTAAACATAGTCAGTTTGCCAAAACGATTTGATGAAATAAATTTCACTATGTCAAACAATTTATTTGACATATTTTCCTTTAGCGAAACCACACTTGACTCAACAATAACTGATAATATGATAAATATAGATGGGTATGATGTTATTAGAAAAGATAGAAATCGAAATGGTGGGGGTGTTTGTATATACCTTCGAAACTCCATAAATTATCAAACTAGACATGACCTAATACCACCAGATCTAGAAGCTATATGCCTTGAAATATCCAAGCCATATAGCCGACCATTTGTGGTTGTCTTAGTTTATAGACCACCTGATGCATCAGCTGATTTTTTTACCAGTTTTGAAAATTTATTGCAAACTATTGATAATGAAAATAAAGAAATCCTTATCCTAGGTGATCTTAACTGTGACCTACTTAAGCCCAATTTCAATCACCCAACAAATAAATTAATGTCTCTTTTCGAAATTTATCAATTAACTCAATTAATTGATGAAGCAACACGAATTACTGAGACATCATCTACACTAATTGATCACTTTATTACAAATGAACCTGAAAAATTTTCTAAATGTGCTGTGATTCATACTGGAATCAGTGACCACAGTCTCATTTATGCCATTAGGAAGATTAATATAAACCATAAAGATAAAGAAAATATTATTGAAATTAGGAATATGAAAAACTTCAATGAAAATAAGTTCTTGCATGATCTTAAAATCCAGTCATGGGAGAATGTCTACTTTTTGCAGACAATCCCAACAGTATGTGGCAAATTTGGAAAGAGCTATTTTTACAGGTTCTAGATAAACATGCCCCTCTTCAAAGTAAAAAGATAAAATCTAAAAAACTACCTTGGATTACTAATCATATTAAACAAATGATAATCACAAGGGATAAATTGAAAAGAAGAGCAATCGTAACGAAACTTGAGTCCGATTGGGAAAACTATAAAAGAGCCAGGAATGAAACAAATACTCAGTTAAGACTGGCTAAAAAAAGAGTATTACACCAATAAAATTTCTTCTGAGAGCCAAAATCCAAAAGCTGCTTGGAAGACAATTAATAGTTTAATTGGTAAGCAAAATAGACCTACTAAAGTGAATGAATTAAATATAAATAATGTAAAACTAACAAGCCTTGCAGACATAGCAAAAGGTTTCAATGATTACTTTGCAAATATTGGACCTAACTTAGCAGCTGAAATTGATACAACTGAATGTCATTTTAAGGACTACCTTAAGAAAGCTGAATCTGAATTTACTGCATTCAAAGCAGTTACTACAAACCATGTTTGTTTTTTGTTATCTCAACTAGCTGGCAACAAAGCTACTGGCTTAGATAAAATTTCTAGCAAGGTTGTCAAAATAGCAGCCCCAATTATTTCCGATTCATTAACCTATATTTTTAACCAATCAATTATTCTATGTACATTTCCAAATGAATGGAAAGTTGCAAGAATAATCCCCCTTTTTAAGAATGGCAAGCATAATTTGGCTGGAAATTATCGTCCAATCTCTGTCTTGCCTGCCATAAGCAAAGTTATGGAACGTATTTTATATAACCAACTATATGAGTATTTGTCGCTAAACAACCTCCTCTCAGAACATCAGTTTGGTTTCCAAAAGTTTCACTCGACTGCGTCAGCCTTACTTGACTGCACAAATGATTGGTATTTAACCATGGATGGAAAATTGTTTAATTTGGTTGTATTCATAGACTTAAAAAAAGCATTCGACACTGTTAACCACGACATCCTATTGGAAAAGCTATTACTATTTGGAATTACGGGCAGTGCATTTCAACTCCTAAAATCATATTTATCCAATCGTACCCAAAAATGTGAAATAAACGGCTCTACTTCTAAAGAAAATATTGTAAAATGTGGCGTACCCCAAGGCTCCATATTAGGACCATTATTCTTTCTGCTATATATTAACAATCTACCATCTTGTCTAAATGAAACTAGACCCCGGATGTTTGCAGACGACACAAATATTACAGCATCCGGAAATTGCATGAATGATATTGAATCTGCAGTAAATTCGGATTTAGAAAGACTTCGGAAGTGGCTTATGGCAAATAAACTGAGCTTAATCGTAGCGAAAACTGAATTTCAATTAATTGGCACTAAACATATGCTTAAAAAAATTAGTGATTACCAGCCAGCAGTTACTATTCGAAATAAACCAATAAAGCAAGTTTTCCAATGCAAGACTTTAGGAGTTACTGTTGACGAAAATCTTTCTTGGAAAAGAAACACTGAGAGTATATGTAGTAAAATATCATCTGGGATATATGCTCTCAAACAAATTAAAACGCTTGTTGATATAAAAACACTCATATCGGTATACAATGCTTTGATCAAACCCTATTTCAGTTATTGTTCTGAAGTATGGGATGTATTTGGCGAAACCCAATCTAAACGCCTGCAAAAGCTTCAAAACAGAGCAGCTCGCATCATAGCAAGTGTACCGAACGATGTTGATCAGCAAACTGTATTGGATTTATTAGGATGGAAAACATTAAAAGAACAACGATTAAAAACTAAAGCGAAAACAATGTTTAAGATACTTCATAATATGGGGCCAAATTGTCTCAAAGACTTATTCATTTTCAAAAAAAATGAAATATTGAATCATAATCTACGTGACAGCTCGACCACATTACGGTTGCCAAAGCCACGTTCGAACAGTTTAAAAAAGAGTTTCATGTATGACGGAGCTGTCATATGGAACTCTTTGCCAGAAATTATTAGAGAGAGCAAAACGCTATCAATTTTCGAAAGGAAAATCGCGACCCATTCTTATTAAAGCATGAATGTAAATAGTAAATTAACGTATATTATATAGTATATTTTCTTTTTCACATATATGCATGTAATTTCTTACTACCTTTATCTTTTTTTCTTGTAAATTTACTTTTGTTCACACGCCCATTGTGGAAACCAGCTTTAGCTGACAATGTTAGCGTGGTTAAATAAAGTTTATCATCATATTCAGTTAGTTCAGTCGGATATATTTTCTGGTTTAAATGAAACATTTTTTCTCCATTATATAAGAAAGTAAAATGACCTAATGTACAGTAGGCACAAGGGTTGTCAGCTGTCAGGATGGCCGAGCGGTCTAAGGCGTCAGACTCAATTTTCAAAACTTGCTCCGCTAATGCGCAGTCAAAGTGCGTTCTGGTCCACTAATGTGTGCGTGGGTTCGAATCCCACTCCTGACAGAGAATTTTAAAATTATTTCGTTAGGCCTTTGAATATATTGCTGCAATTCTTAATCCCGAGGATGACTACCAACCAGTCAAAACGTTGATTTAAAAACAAAATGTTGTTCGTTTTCCATCAAACTATTGTTTCCGCCCAGGATCGAACTGGGGACCTTGCGCGTGTTAGGCGCACGTGATGACCGCTACACTACGGAAACCTGCATGCCGATAAATGTTCGCCAATGGCCAATTCATTACCAGATGAGAAAGTTTTACATAGGAGAAAACTTCTCAATGTATCATGAAAAATCGCTGTGTCGATATAGTTAATTTTTAAATAATTAAATGCCAATCAACTAAAACATTTCCTCGTGGGGTCAGTTTGAAGCAGCACATTCAAAGTGAATCTCGAGTTTTCCCCTTCACTCAATCTTGAGATCAATAGCGTGAAACAGCTGTCATATTTATGTCTTCGTTAAATATTGGGCGGTAGGTCAGATCTCGACAGCCCTTCCATGCATTAATCAGTGTTTAGCTTGAAACAGTTTTTAGCGAAGATTAAGCTAGAACAGGTAATAAAAAACGCGCAAGGTATTCTCTCTTCGTTGGCTAAAACGGTGGAAATGGAAGCAATAGAAGGAAAAGTTGATTCTGCAACCGGTATCGCTCGTTACAAATTAACTGTCTTTAAAAGTTGGTTTACCTTTTCACAATCGGTCATGTACGCAAGTTAAAATTTGATAATAAACAGCCTGACTTCGCAACACATTTACTATGTTTCCGCTCAGGCTCGAACTGGGCTCCTTGCGCGTGTGAAGCGCACGTGATGACCACTACTCTTCAGAAATTTGCTGGCGAAGCACGAGTTCAGTACGTTGCTGAATTTTGCTCTTTTCATTTTCTGTAAATAAAACACCAAATGCATGCTTCTGCCCAGGATCGAACTGGGGAGCTTGCGCGCGTAAAGCGCATGTGATGACCGCTACACTACAGAAACAAGCGCATGTTCGAAACCCTTTGCAAACTTCCCCACTTTCAAACGTTCAAAATTGACTGAAAATTCGTTCATTTGATCCTCCCGCAGCAGCCAATTTTAATTCTTCTGTTGAAGCAATAGAAGGAGCACTGACGTGCGATGAGAGAAACGATGTTCAGTTAGTTGCAGTCGGATATATTTTCGGGTTTGAGTGAAACATTTTTTCTCCATTATATGAGAAAGTAAAATGACGTAATGTACAGTAGGAACAAGAGTTGTCAGCTGTCAGGATTGCCGAGCGGTCTAAGGCGCCAGACTGAAGTTTCAAAATTTGCTCCGCTAATGTGCAGCCAAAGGGCGTTCTGGTCCACTAATATGGGCGTGGGTTCGAATCCCACTCCTGACAGAGAATTTTAAAATTATTTCTTGAGGCCGTTGAATATATTGGTGGAATTCTTAATCCCGAGGATGACTACATAGCAGTCTAAACGTTGATTTAAAAACAAAATGTTGATCGTTTTGTATCAATCCATTGTTTCTGCCCAGGATCTAACTGGGTAGCTTGCGCGTGTGAAGCGCACGTGATGACCACTATTCTACAGAAATTGGCTGGCGAAGCACGAGTTCAGTGCGTTGCTGAATTTTGCTCTTTTCATTTTCTGTAAATAAAACACCAAATGCATGCTTCTGCCCAGGATCGAACTGGGGACCTTGCGCGCGTAAAGCGCATGTCATGACCGCTACACTACAGAAACAAGCGCATGTTCGGAACTCTTTACAAACTTCCTCAGTTTCAAACGTTCAAAATTGACTGAAAATTTGTTCATTGGATCCTCCCGCAGCAGCCAATTTTGATTCTTCTGTTGAAGCAATGGAAGGAGCACTGACGTGCGATGAGAGAAACGATGTTCCGTTAGTTGCAGTCGGATATATTTTCTGGTTTAAATGAAACATTTCATCAACATTTTCTCCATTATATTCGAAAGTAAAATGACGTAAAGTACAGTAGGCACAAGGGTTGTCAGCTGTCAGGATGTCCGGGCGGTCTAAAGCGCCAGACTCAAGTTTCAAAACTTTCTCCGCTAATGTGCAGCCAAAGGGCGTTCTGGTCCACTAATGTGGGCGTGGGTTCGAATCCCATTCCTGACAGAGAATTTTAAAATTATTTCCTGAGGCCGTTGAATATATTGGTGCAATTCTTAATCCCGAGGATGACTGCAAAC